CAGTGTCCAGGGACAGCGTGCCGCTGGGCTGCCTCACCCTGACCCAGCGGCCGCGGCCTGTCCCGCCAGCGGGGTCCCCCGGGAGAGTCCTGAGCAGGGGCTCCCAGACTCGCGGCTGCACCTTGCCGGCGGCCACGTGGGCCGTGTCCGGGACGGAGCTGGCCGCTGGTACACGAGCCGTTAAGTCGAACCCGAACCGTGTCGCTGCTTCCTGCGCGGGAAGTGAAGGTGTTTCTGTAACACTCAGACGAGTCAGGATGAAATGAAGTGGAAAGCGGTGTCACCCCCTGCCGCCCGCTTCGGGAGCTTTACTGTCTGTAAGGCGGCTCCGATTTTATTCCTGTGGAGGTGTCTGCGCTGACGTGAGGAGAGGTGAGGGGATGGAGACAGCGAGGCCGGGAGCCAGAGGGGCCCGCAGCACGCGGGAGGGCCGACAGTGACCCTGCCTCGGACACTTTTCATTCCATCCATGCACAACTGGTAATTTTGTGGACTGCCTGTCACCCCAAATTCACAGGTTGAACCCCTGCCCTCAATGTGACACTATTTGGAGACAGGGCCTTTGCAGAAGCAACAGGTTAAATGAGAGCGTGAGGGTGCGGCCCTAGCCCAGTCCAGCCGGCGCCCTGCAGGGAGGAAGGGCCCGGGGGCGCCCAGCCCTTGTGTGGGTGCACACACGCGGGTGTGCTACCTAGGCTCATCCCACACGTGTGGACACACTGGCCAGTGCTGCCCATAGGGGATGCCCGGACCATCCAACACGTGTGGACACACTGGCCAGTGCTGCCCATAGGGGATGCCCGGGCCATCCCACACCTGTGATCACACTGGCCAGTGCTGCCCATAGGGGATGCCCGGGCCGTCCCACACGTGTGGACACACTGGCCTGCGCTGCCCATAGGGGATGCCCGGACCACCCCACACGTGTGGACACAGTGGCCTGTGCTGCCCATAGGGGATGCCCGGACCATCCCACACGTGTGGACACACTGGCCTGCACTGTCCATAGGGGATGCCCGGGCCATCCCACACCTGTGATCACACTGGCCAGTGCTGCCCATAGGGGATGCCCGGGCCATCCAACACATGTGGACACACTGGCCTGTGCTGCCCATAGGGGATGCCCAGGCCATCCCACATCGGTGGTCACACTGGCCTGCACTGTCCATAGGGGATGCTCGGGCTGTCCCACACGTGTGGACACACTGGCCTGCACTGTCCATAGGGGATGCTCGGGCCATCCCACACCTGTGATCACACTGGCCAGTGCTGCCCATAGGGGATGCCCGGGCCATCCCACAC